CCCCCCCCCCCCCCCTCGCCGCCACCCGCTTCTGACGTGTATCCTCCGTTGAAGGGTACATTGTGGAATGGAGATGGTACAACCTATACCGGCGATTGGATGGACGGCTGGAAGCACGGACAGGTGACGTATGTGCTGCTGCGGGTTGTTGTTGTTGTTGTTGTTGTTGTTGTTGTTGTTGTTGCCCCCACACGTCTGCAGCACTCCACCTCTCCAACTTCTGCATCAGCACCATTGCACATCACGCTTTCTCCGCCTTCCCATCTCTCTGTTCCAACCCGCTGCATCGATGCGCAGGGAGTTCGAACGTACGCGGGTGGCGTTACGTACGAAGGGGGTTGGGCCTACGGCCTGCGGCAAGGAAAGGTGAGATCCCCCCCCCCGCCTCCGAACGCCCTGAGCAGGATGCACCCTCCATGCGACTCACGGAATACCTCACGGCGCTTCGTGCTTGGTGATGTGATGACCTGCTCTGGTGAAAACCCGGCGTGCTCCGTCCCCGGCTTTGTAGGGATGCGAGGTCAATGGTCCAATGACTACGGCATGCACGGCTATGAGTCCCCCCTCCCCCCAAGTATGCCTTCATTTGAGAGACCCGCAGAGGGAGAATGCTACATACCTTTGGCGCGCTGTGGGTTCACATATGGTCAACACGGGAAATGTGTGCATGGCTTCAAGCCGACGTTAGTACGACTTCCCGACGACAGATCTATCCTTTTCTGTCGCAAACTTTCCTCCTTTTCCCCGTGTTGTAGTTCACCTTATTTATCGGTTCTCTCTGTTGGCGACCCAGCTACGCTCTATGTATGCATTCGTCCACGCCGACGTTAGCACGACGTTCGGACGACCAATCGTTGTCTGTCGCTATTTTTTTTCCTTTCCTCGTGTTGTAGTCAACTTCATCGGTTGTCTCTAACGGCGACCCAGCTGTAGCTATAATGGTTAACCGTCCGCAGGACTTGCCTCGTAACGCCGGTGTAGATCTCTGCTGCACCACCTCCCGTTCTGGGTGATGCGGTGTCTCCTCGTGCTGTGCTTTTGCTTCCAACGCTTGCCGTACACATTCGCCGCGTGATGTTTTGTTCGCCTCTCTGGATTGCCCCCGCCTTGTCTTCCCGATACATGCTCTTGTCGTGGGGGCGAGCAAATGACGCTTGTTCCTTTGTTTGCGTGGCTAGTTCCACCTCCGGTCCTTTGGTGTCACCCTGTGTTGTAATCATATTTTCATGTGCTTCGCCTGTGCGACACGCGCGTGTGCAGGGTGTGTGGTGCGGGCCAGAAGGCATCTACGAGGGCGACTATGCCAACGACAAGAAGAACGGATTCGTGAGTCAGTAGGTTTGCACAAACATGCGTCAAACCTTTTTTGAAGAACCTCTTCCTTGGCCCGACGCTCTCTTTCTTCTCTGTGGTGTACACCGACAACGACTGTGTAAGTTTTTGAGCAGGGATTTAAGCGGAGGTCCTGTTTGGCAAGGCCAACTTCTTCAATTTGTCTTCGTTCAGCGTGATTTTCCCAACTCCCGGGTTGTCCAGTGCGGCCGCACTTGTACGTTGGGTATTGGCGAAGCCGAGCCGTTCATTGACTAGTGTTTTGATTGATTTTATGGCCCCCCGTCATGCAACCCCCTGGCAAATCCCGATGCAGGGCACGTACACGTGGGCGGATGGGCGAAAGCATGTCGGCAGCTGGCAAGACGGGAAGCAGCACGGAAAGGTGACGCCATGCGCGCGGCCGTACTCTTGTGCATCCCGAAGGGGCGAGCGCTTTCCCCCCAACTTTTTGGATGTTTCCAAAGTGGGGAACTTTGCAATATCGAAGGCATTAAGGTTGAAATCTGTCGGAAAAATTCGGGCTATCGCTCCAACTTCCAATTTTTCCAAACGTTTCGATGACTCCAAATTTATTGGAAGAAGTAAACGTGGAAAAACATTTTTTTTAACAAGTTCGAAACGGCCCTAAATACAGTAGTAGAGGCCAGCAAGGTTGCTGCCTTTGTTCGGACGGAGCGATCCGAGTCGACATGGCATCCAGCTCGACATGTGTAGATATTGTGTTCGCGGTGTGGAGATGATGATGACGGCGGTAGCGCTCGTTCGTGTGCTGTTTATCGTCGTGGCCGCGTTGGTGTCGTTGAACACGGACTATTACCGGTTTTGCTTGGGCAAGAAGTAGGGGGGGGGTGCACGGGATAATTCCTTGCACGCGCTTTTTGGGTGACTGCTGTGCCCCTCTGACTCGAGGACTGGTGTAGACAATTGAAGGACATGGCGATACTCAAAGTTCATCCGATGTATATATCTCAATCACGTGTGGTGCTGGCGAGAGCAGGTAGGTCTTACCTCATCGAACAATCCATACTGCCTGCGTACAAATTTCCGCATGCGTAAATAGTCTCGAAGATTAACCCCCCTGATGTCCTTGACCAAAAACCTTTTCGCTGTGGTTTGCAGGGCGTCTTGTACGCGAAGGATGGGAGAATCACCATCCAAGGGAAGTGGAAGAAGGGGGAGAAGACGCTCTTCTTTTGATCCGTTGGACGTGCTGACGGGGGTGGGAGCACCGTTCTTTCGATTGGTCGGGAGACGGCCGCGGTGACAGACCCCTTGTCCTGATTAGTCCCACGAGCACCCCCCTATCCTGGCCGGTGAAAACCCGGCGTGCCCCGTCTTGGCTTTGTTGCCATGCGATGTCAACGGTCTAACGACTGCGGCATGCACGGCTATGAATACGCCCCCTTCTCCAAAGAGCACCCCCTCCGAATGCGTGATAATCTGTCCTGCCGTAAACTTTCGTGTCCGACTTTTACGGAAAATAACTTAGCGTCCTGCACGGATCTACCGTGTATCCCTCCCCCCCCCCCCCCCCCCCCCCCCCCCCCCCCCCCCCC